GGCGGCGGCAGCGCACAGCTCCCAAGTGGCCCGCGGCACGGCCTCGCCTTCGCACTCCAGGATGCAGACCTGCAATGAGACGCGGGGATGGGTGTTAGATGGGTTTTGGTCCCCTCCTGGGGCTGTGGGACCCCAAATTCTGGGTGCTTGGGTGTCTTTCCTACTTGAGGCCCGTCCAGTGCGTTGGGAGATGCCCATGGAAAGGTGCCGGCAGCTCATCTTGGTGAGGTGACCCCTCCCAAAACCTGTTCTTGGGCTCCAAGAGGTGGTGGTGATGGTGGAGCCATGGCAGCTGCTCACAATCCCTCTCCTGACCCTCTCTAGACAGCCTCTGCTCCACACTGGACTCAGTCCACATGTCCCCATTGATGTCCATGCTCCCATCCCACAGCCCCATGCTCTGCACTGCTGGGTCCTTCAGCCGGGCACAAGCCAAAAAATCACCGAGTCACGGGGTGGCAGAGGTGGGAAGTGACCTCTGGTGTGTGCCTATGGCACGTCCTGGTGCCTGGGGTTGTTCTTCCAGACTTGGTTGAGCTTCAGGAGGTTCCCACCAGCCCAAATCTCCAGCCTGGCAAGGTTCCTCTGGATGGCAGCATGACCCTGTGGTCTCCCATCCGTGTCACCCAGGGTGCGTCTGCCACGTCCTCACGGTCACTGATGAAGATGTCAAGGTCCTGCAGGTTTCAGTCCACCTTGCTGCCCATTTATCTGCCCTGTGCTTCAGCAGCTTCTCTACGAGGATGTCATGGGAGACAATGTCAAAGCCTGAAGAAAGTCAAGACACGCTGGTTGTCTCGCTGCAGGAAATGCTCAGGTTGGTCAAGCACGACTTCCCCTTCATAAATCCACGCTGGCTGCTCCCAGTGACCTTCTTGTCCTTCATAGGTCTGAAAATACTTTGCAGGATGATGTGCTCCACCAGCTCCCCAAGGATGAGGTGAGGCCAATGAGCCCATAACTTCTCTGGTCCTCCTCCATGCCGTGGATACAAACATGGCATTTGTCTCTTCCCATCCCTCAGGAACTCACTGTGGTCACCATGTCCCTTCAAAGACCATCAAGAGCAGCCTTGTCAAGAGGTACCACTGGGCTTCCTCAGCACATTCCACCACGTTTGGTCTCATCCCTTTGCAAGAGGCCTCATCCATCAAGGCAGGACACAGACCTGGCACTGCTGTGATAGCCCCAAGTGGGCTGACCCATGAAAACCCAGGGAAACCATCCAGGAGGAGATTGTAGAAGAACCAAACTGAATAAATGCCCAAAGAAACCAGGGCTGGAGGGCCCAGAAGGGAAGAGTTGTCATCTCAAAGTGTCTCCATCCCAACATTGTCTTCATGGTGGGGTCTTTTCAGTGCTTAACACCAACTGGGGCACCTCATGCTGAAGCACGTTGGCATGTCTCATTGCTAGAGACCATCTACGAGACCAAAACCCTTGCACAGGCCCTCTTGACCGTGGGTTCATTAACTTTGCCAGGTTAGAGGTGCTACAAGTCCCAACGTAGTGCCTCAGGGATGTAGCTCAAGGACGTGGCTCTGCAGCAGTTGGATATTTCCATCACTGAATCATCCATCCATCTCCATCCCTGAGGCTCTTCAGACAAAAATTAAAAAAGAAAAATAGTTGTCCAAAGGGAAGTGGAGATGAGGGTCTTGCAACCAGGACACCTCCCAGGGTCCTTATGGAGGGGTATCCAGGGCCAAGCCAAGACCTTGTCCCGGGATCTCCGAGGCTTTGGCAGAGTCTACGGCTGATGGATGTTATCCTGTGTTAGAGATGAAAGGTGGTGGATCGCGTGCAGGTAACAGCTCTGAAGAGCACCAGCTTCAAGAGGAGTTACCCCAGGCTGAAGACCATCGGTGGTTCTAACACCCAGCCACAAAACAGCCCCATGAACATCCCAGGGTCTTTGGCCACTGTGCTGTGGTCTTAATTCACGTGGAAATGGCTTCTGCTTGTCATGTTTTGGGAGTCCTCAACAAACACCATCCAATGCTCCTCCACGTCAAGCATCGAAACTACCAGGAGAGGCTCCTTCCAGTCTTTGGTGGGCATTAACGGTGCCACCATGGGTTTGCATCATCCCTGGATGATTCTGGGAACCAGGGTGTGGTTGGTTCATCCACGTCTTGGACCCTGTTGTGCCCTGGCAGCTGCAATGCTGGTAACTTCAGAGGGGTCTCCCATTTCTACCTCCAAAGGATGGATCAGCCACGGCACCGGTGGGACTTCCTTGGCCACGGCTTTGGAAATGGTGGAGGGTTGCATCAAATCCCACCACACTGCATCTTCCAGCTGAAATTGAGCCTTGAAAGACCTCGGCTTCCTCTGCTCCTGGTTCAAACCCCTCTTGCTTTGGGACACAACCTTGCATGGGACCCACGAGCCACCAACCATCCCATCTCCTCCCAAAATGCAGCTCCAGAAGCAGCACTGGGCAGGAAGGAGGGGTCTCTGCAGAGCCACTGGTGCCTTCAGGCTGCAAAACAACATTCTGGGGCAAAACCAGGGCAATCACACCCCAAAACTTGGTGGCAGTGATGTGCAATTGCAGAAGGCTTTGCCAGCAGAAGGTGGCTCCATCATCTCCACGGAGCCCTGGAAGTCTCTGGTCCCTGCTGGTTTTGGGGGTAATTTCCCAGCCCTGGGGGCTTCCTGAGCTGCCGGCTCCTTTCGGGTGGAAAAATGGAAAATCACAGCCTGCTGTGATTTATCACCGCTGATAAATGGGCGAGGGGGTGGGAGGTGATGGATAATCCCTCGGGGAGGGGTAATGGGAGGGAAAAAAGTGTTCCTGGCCACGGCTCAGCAGAGGGGAAAAGAAAGGATTAAGGGCTGGAAAAAAACCAACCCAAAATGCTATTTATTGGTTCTTTCTATCCAGTGGTGGAGAAAAATTGAGGGGGTGAGAAGGGCTGTGGGGTGCCTGATGCCTGGTCCCCCAAAGCATGGCAGCTCGCCGGCTGTCTGCAAAGCTGGTCCCATCCTGGGGGGGCTCAGAAGGGCATTTTGGGACCCCCTTGGAGGATGCAGTGGGGATCTGGGTGGGTTTGGGGTTGGTGTAGGTGAGGACAGCGATGCCACAAGGAAAGCTGGGGCCACTCGGGGTCTTTAGGGACCCTTCTTGGGCCATCCCAGCCTTGTCTCCATCAGACCCCAGATCTGGGGTCCGCACTCTCTTTCGGGACCATCTTATCTGCTGGTGTCCCCGAGGGGTGACAGTGACAGCAGGTGGCACCTTCCCCTTGAGTTTCTGCACCGACCAGGAGCCAAAACC